TGGGTCACAGACTGAGAACAGTCTTTAGAGTGGATACCAGAGAAGACTGAAACATCACTTACCTAGAAAATGCTGCTTGGATACTGGAAGTCAGTAAGACAGTTCGGAATTTCTATGTAAGAATTCCAGAGAAGCCCCAAATCCAAAGGGAACCTGGCATTTGGGGCCGATTTTACCTACACATCATTCTAAAATCTGAAAGGGCAACCGAAGAGCTAATCAGAAGTTGAGATGTTCTTAGGGAAGGCAGAAATACAGGCACTGACAGTCCAAGGATGAGGCCTTTGGTAAACCCTTGCCCTTTGGGTCTGTGGACCGATGGTGGGTCACAAGTGCCCAAGCATAATCTATAGCCCAGGCTGGGTCACAGGGACACCCAGACAGCCTGTTCCTAAAACTCAGAATACTACAAGCGAAACAGTGACTCCCAGAAACTGGCAGGAGCCAACAAGATTTGTCTCTGGATTGGAGGGTGCAAACTCGGATCCTGAAACTTTGTCAGTCAAGATGACTAAATCTAAGGGTAGTATATAAACACACAAGAATCACCAGAAGCACAGGCCCCAAAGCAACACTACATATTACTAGTATTGTCAAACATACACTCAGTTGAGTTTGCATCCCAAACCTGGGTATGTAGAGAAAACACGTAGGGACAGTAATACATTATAGCCTACGAAACAGAAATCCATGAGTCCATACTGCTAAGAATGAAGAACAAATGGGTAAGAAGAGCTGCGAAATGAGAATTCTGGCACACGGGGGAGAAATGACAGAACTAGAAACCAGCACTTGGCAACCACTGCAGCAATACACATGACAGAGACAATCGATATTAGCACACTTTCCTTCTATGTCCATCCATCTTTTTTTCTCCAGTTACTTTCAAACATGTTCTTTCATGTCTTATAAGTCACACGGAGTTACTTTTCTGCCTTTATTAATTACTGTCTTTAACTGGAATGCTTAAATATATTATCTTGTAATGTAACTTATGAATATATTTGTCTTATTTTATTTTGAAAATTCTTTTGAGACAGGGTGTCACTATGTAGCCTTGGCTATCTTGGAACGTGCTATGTAGACCAGGCTGGCCTAGAAGTCATAGAGATTAGTCTACCTCCCGAGTGCTAGGAATAAAGGTGTGCACCACCATGCCCAGCTGCTACCCAGGCTTTAGACTCATCCTTACCTGGCCTCATACCCACTTCTCTTCTGCTTGCCTTAGAACATGCCCAATCTCTCGTATCACTCCATTACCCCACGCTGTGCTTCCCAGCTTCCCAGTCCGTACATTGTAAGACCAGTTAGTTATCTGTACAGTGGCGTTTTGTCCTATTTCAGTAACACCGGGCCTAAATTTAGTAACACTTATTCTAAAAGCCTTCCTGTGGTAAATTCGCAGCATCACTGGCCATAACCAACAATCACCCAAACAGTAATAAGGTTACAGCAAGGGCTTTGGAGAAAATGTCCACACTCTCTTCCAGGTAGCAGGACCAAGCTGGCTACATGTCAAACAAGGAGACAAAAATTCAGTTCCTGTTAACGTGTTATGTTTCAAGTGTCCACCACATTCACATGAGGCTACTGTATCGGTCAGCACATATACTACCATGGTAGAACATTCCAGAACAGCACTGTTTCAGACCTCCTCTCTAAGTATCACTCCCCACCCTGGTGTTGAGCAATACCAGTTAGCATCTCAGTCATACACCAAAGAAAGCCGTCTTAGTCCAGATATCAGCGAAGCCCAGTCCCTCAGCCCAAATGTGCCTCTCTGTCTGCTCTGCCAGCCTCCAGTTTTAGGTCTCATCTAAATACCTAAGACAACACCTGTCCACCCAGTCTCTATTCTTTCAATTCCCTGCTCAGCCCTTTCCTTCCTTATAAGCACTATGATTTAAAAGTCACCCCATTTTGCCTAAGCCACTCAAACTGACAAAAGTGCATACCAAGACAATATGATAATCTGAATTTGATGAAGTAACTCGACAGTTGGGAAATTTTGTCTACAGTTTTATATACAAAGTTATTTACCAAAACTTACGTTGCCTTCAAAATAGAGTATATCACTACATCCAAAATATTCACATGGAAAATGCTAGACGACCATTGAATAAAGGAACTTTATTACATAGCCTTTTAAAGGAGAAATTGGCTTTTTTTCCCTTCTGAGCTGGGAATCTATACCAAGCCACTAAGCAAGTATTCTACCTATGAGCTATATTCCCAGCACCACATACCTTTTAAAGGTTTATTTAATTATGTTTGCATGTGTCTGTGCACATGAGTGCAGATACGTGCAGAGGCCAGAGGCATCATACCCCCTGAAGCTGGAGTTCCAGGTAGTTGTGAGTCCCATATGTAGGTGCTGGAAGGAACAGCAAGCACTGTTTACTAATGGCTGAGCCATCTCTCCAACCCCATCTACCTTTAAAAAAAGCAGCACTGGTTCTGCTGGCTGCTCCTTCCTGAGGCTCTAAAGCATCATCAATGGCCAGTGTATCCCAGCTGCTTCACTCAACTGGACAGCAAGGAACAAAGCAGGATGTTCTACAGACTTAATGTTCACTGAATTCCCAATGTGGCCGTGAGGTAGGATAGGAACATCTGTGTTCAGTGGCCAGGATGGGGATCTTCTGTGCTCAGTGGCCAGGATGGGGATCTTCTGTGTACAGTGGCCAGGAGGGGGATCTTCTGTGCTCAGTGGCCAGGATGGGGATCTTCTGTGCTCAGTGGCCAGGATGGGGATCTTCTGTGTAGTGGCCAGGATGAGGATGTTCTGTGATGAGGATGTTCTGTGTTCAGTGGCCAGGATGGGGATCTTCTGTGCTCAGTGGCCAGGATGGGGATCTTCTGTGCTCAGTGGCCAGGATGGGCATCTTCTGTGTTCAGTGGCCAGGATGGGGATCTTCTGTGTACAGTGGCCAGGATGGGCATCTTCTGTGTTCAGTGGCCAGGATGGGGATCTTCTGTGTACAGTGGTCAGGATGGGGATCTTCTGTGTTCAGTGGCCAGGATGGGGATCTCTGTGTACAGTGGCCAGGATGGGGATCTTCTGTGCTCAGTGGCCAGGATGGGGATCTTCTGTGCTCAGTGGCCAGGATGGGGGTCTTCTGTGCTCAGTGGCCAGGATGGGGATCTTCTGTGTACAGTGGCCAGGATGGGGGTCTTCTGTGCTCAGTGGCCAGGCCTTTCAGTATGTTACTACTTAGGCATACTTGCAAAATTGTCAAATGAAAAGCTGTCAGCTAGTGTCACGGTGTGGATAGGTGCCCCACAGACCAGCTGATCCGATTTGACCACGCAGCTCTCACTTATCTTGCACTCCAGATACACTTGTCCTTTCTAACCAGCAGCTGGACTTGGGAGGCGCCATTACAGCAAAGGAACAAGCTTGTGAGAGCTTTCCGTACAACAGCCCATACTTACTGGAGGGTGTTTTCCAGGACTTTAGGTCCTGAGCTTTTATAACACCCAACAAGACTCAGGTAGCGTTTTGTCTGTGTAACACTGAGTTTGGAAACAAGACTGAATAGTGTTCTCCAAATGGGAATGTGAAGCTATGGAAACGGTTATCTCATGCAAAGTGGATTGTTCTCAAGCTTCCCCTGCAGCCTAAGAGAAAGCCAGGCAGACAGAGTCATAAAGTTTCCGTGTGTGTGTGTGTGTGTGTGTGTGTGTGTGTGTGTGTGTGTGTGTGTGTATGTGTAAGAGAGGGAGAGGGGGAGTTATGTAGACCAGGCTGGCCTTGACCTCACAGAAACCCACCCACCCACTTTTGCCTTCCAAGCAATGGGTTTAAAGGCATGCACCACCACACCTAACATAAATAAGTAATTTAGGATATTCCCAGCATTAGTGGACAAGTCAAGAAGCCATAGTTTTTGTTATGTTCTACAATCTTGGTAGCTATTAGTTCTAGGACATGAAATGTCTTTCTTTTTAAACTTTAAATCTTGATGCTGGAGAACAATGTTATCCACTGCAGTCAGGAAGTGGTTCCCTGCTGGCACTCACTCTCTGAGGTCATAACTTTCTGTTGTTGTTGTTGTTTTTTTTTTTAATTTAGAGAATTCAGAAAGAGAAAATGACACCAGGAAATTTGCTTACTTTCTCCTTGCTCTTCTGGTGGACTTTTCTTAGAAACGGTTTCAAAGCTACTTGAAAATAAGATTATTTCCTGTGCTAAGTAGATATCCTACATAACAAATGTTTCTTGAGATCGATGTAGAAGAAACTGAAAGAAACAGAATTGATGTTATGAAGGATTAACCAATACATTCGCTCAGGAGACATTAAGTCACACAAAGCAGAATTCAGCTAAGGGAGCGCTGCCTCCAAAATACCCCAAAGATAAGCAGTATGCTAGCCAGCCTGCTAAAGACAAGCAAATTTTAGGGTGCTAGGATGTAAGCGTTTGCTCATCAGGATGGACCAGCCATCAAGCCCTTCCCCAAAGAACATGTTTCTAACAAGCAGTCCAAGGAGGCAGCCTGGGGTCACAGTGAATGGTAAGTCCTGGCTTGCCATAATGCCCCCAGTTCTCTTCTTGAGAAAATCATAATTCTGCCAGATGGACAAGATGACCATTATTCAAAAGAACAACACTGGTGTACTTATTAATTCTGGCAATATCTTCGCTGTGTAAACCTCCCATCTGCCCAAGTAGCCAGACTTGCAGTCTCCTGTCCCTGTTTAATTTGTTCCAAGTGTAACCTGGGTCCAGGACCTGAAGGAGATTTAAGGATGATTTAAGATTTAAGAACCTTCTGTTTGAGGCTGACTCTTGCTTGGGCTTCAGCCTTAGTGAAGGGCTCTTCCTTCATCTCTCAGTGTGCAGTGACCTCACTGAGAAGCACGCTATTCCTAGAACAAGATCAACAGACACGTTGTCCGAGTGTCGTTATGCAATCTTCATCAGAGAAGGGACTATGAAACCAAAGACGGTCAACATAGGCTCGTGGTTCTAACAAAACCCCACGAAGAGCCACGAGCAAGTTCTAACGTTTTTTTTATTATCACCTCAGTATCACTGTCCACCCAAATTCTTGAACTTGCAGTCCAGTCCAAGTCCTCCGAAGAGTCTACTTCATGAATTAAAGATGTACAGAGAAGGGAGTAGTTTAACCTTTAAAAAGTAAATTTGACAAAGTAAAGGGGATGGAGGCAGCTCAGCACTGAGATGTGGGGGCCACATTTTCACCCTCAGATGACAGGTTTGCTTCCAGAATTACAGAGCTGGATGTGAAGCACACGCTCCAATATCCTCACACACATACACAGCTGTCCAGTGCTCAGTACAAAAGGAGGAAAATACGCGAAGCATGGAACCATAATGCTGATGATACATGTTTCTAGGGGTCTGGAGTCCGATTAATAATGAGCAAGGGAAATCTACAACAAGGAAAGGGAACATACATTTATTAAAAATAAAATAGCAAGTCTCTGGTAATGAACAATTCAACCCCACTCAAGAGTCCAAAGACTTCCAATATACAATGTAGCAATGCACACGTGTAGAAAATCCCAGTCATTTTTTTTTTTTTAAAGAATTTTCCAAAGAAGAAACAAAAAGCCTCCCTCGGCTCCCCTGTGGTGGAGCCCGCCTCCAGGCGCACTCCTAAACCCGTGGCGGCTCCGTGGTGCTCTGTACATGGCACAGCAGCCCCATCAACACTGCCTTTCGGACTAAGGTCAGTTTCTGTGTGATGATCCAGAATACAAACCTTTTATTTCATAGGAAGCATTCACAGGCTGGAAGAGCAGGGCTGATCTGGTTTCCTAAAATCTTCAATTGTAATGAAGACACAGACGAAACTACTAAATCTAGATGCTTTCACATTATTTTGGCTGAGAGTACTGTATAAAAATTAATGTCAAATCTTAAATGAACCAAAACTCATGTCTCTAAAGGTCGAAGTTCTTCACTCTGGTGTGGCTGATACGTCTTCTGTCTCTGTAATTAGCAATGTTTTCAAACAAAGAACTTCAAGAAAGATTCTGCACTGCTAAGAATGAACCAAAGGGCTGCCCAAGCTTTTGCCTAGGACACGCACAGCTCCTGCTGGATACTGGAGGGTGCTAATTTACTGTCCTCAGCCTTCTCTTGTCCAGGGGCCTGACAAGTGGTCTTCCTCTTAAATAACCGAAGACTCAGCCGAAGCAGCTCGTTGTCTACCATCGGAGTGTTGGTGTACGCCTGCTTCACAGCTCCCTGTTTGGAGAAAACAAAAGCAACATGCTGTACACTGCTGGGCCGTAGTGGGAAAGACAGGCAGGCAGCTCTACCCCAACCCCAAACGTTAGCTGAGCACTGGCTCTGAACTCTGCTGATGTTAAAGCAAAATTAGGACTCTGTTCAAGACCAAGCAAGCAAGCAAGCTTCAGAGGATACCCTGTCTAGCTCTTACTAAGTGGGGCTCCTCAACAGCCCCCACCAAGTAATTACTGCATTTCCTCCACCGTTTCTAACGAGAAAACAAGCACTGCAGTGAAGCAGAGGCGGTGTGTGGTGTGTGCCGAGGCTCTGCTCCTCCCGAGGGGGCCCTGCTGAGCAGCACTTGTATTCAATCTTGCTTTTGCCCGCAAAGTGAACATTCTGAAAGAAGAATCCCAACCTTTCCCTTGTTTTTCCTTCACATGCCAAACATTCTTCACTCCTTACTGGGCTCACAGCACTTGGGCCGTGGAACTGAGCACATTTTCTCGAGGCCGGCTTGTCACCACTATGCTGAGGACTACTCCTCATACAGACAGAATGTGGGGCTCTGTTCCTGTAGCCTAAAGCCACACTGGATGGGACAATCAGTGTCCAACATTTGGTTCCATGCCCCTAGCTACATGTAATGAAAAGGGCAAGAGCACTACACTATTACTCTTATTTTCTAGGATCCCAAATACAAATGACTACGAAAGGTTTCTGAACCACATTAGCATTCTTTCAAAAAGTATTTTATTTCCTAAGATATGGCAGAGTAAAAGTAACTTTGATGTGCGTTTCTAGAGGTTTAATACAGACTCATGCAAACATGGCAACAGTCAGGGTAGACAGGGGCTTTACTTAATGAGGCATTAATCACACCATATTCTCAATCCTAATGCTGACAATCACTGATGTCTTCCATTGTTTTACCTTCCCCAGAATGTCACAGAAATAAAGGCCAGACTTAACCTATTGATGTTAGTTCCTCTCTTCAGCATAATGCCTTTGGATTCATGCATGCTGTCCAAGGTGCCAACAACTGGTTATGTTTCGTTGATAGTGACTATCTGGGTTGTGTTACAGTTCACCTACTGGCCGATGAAGAACACTGGAGGTTTCAGTTCGGAAGGACTGTGGTCAAGTCTTAACAGGTTAGTTCTTTTTGGCAATTGATATAGGTAATTAATAGGACTTTGCTGCAGTCTTAAATTGCATTCCTTAATGGCTAGTGTCAACATATCTGTTCATGTGCTTAATGCTATCCACACTGGTCTAACTTCTGTTTAAATATTTCACCATTTTGAAAAACTGAGTTGTTTTCTTATTGTTAATTCTTCAGAATATCTTCATATATTTGGGATATTTAAGAAGTGTATTCTTTTTTTTTTTTAATTATTTACTTTTATTTTATGTGCATTGGTGTGAAGGTGTCAGGTCTCCTGGAACTGGAGTTACAGACAGTTGTGAGCTGCTGTATGGGCGCTGGGAATTGAACCTGGGTCCTCTGGGATTGCAGCCAGTGCTCTTAACCACTGAGCCCTCTCTCCAGCCCAAGAAGTATATTCTTATAAGTACTGTTTCCCACTATTTATCTTTTCCTTTTCTTATCAGTCTCTTAATTTATGGAGTGATTATTTCATAATAAAAATAATTTTAAAAATCAAAACTATTTTATACTCTCCCCTGCCCCTTTTAACTGGTCACATTTGTGCCTGTCTGCTTGTGGGATCTGCTCGCTTCCATTTAACTGAAATTATATTCTTTTACCAATACCATACTATATTAAATGCATTTTTCACATCAAGTCTTGAAATGAGTAGGTAACATCTCCCATTTATTTTTAGTGGTTTTGTTTTGTGTAAAAGTGATATGACCAGACTCCTTGTAAAACTCCAGAATCAGCTTGTTCATCTTTACAAAGAGATCTTGGTTGAATTTTTATTACAATTCTGTTAAATCTGCAGACCAGCTTTGGGGAGAACAATAAATCTTAACTATCACTTGATATGATCATGTATTTTTTTTTTCAGTCTGATATGCAGATCACAATGAATGATTTTAAAACACCGGCCAGTCTTTCACTCTCAGGGTGACCCATATTTGACTGTGGCCAGGATTCACTTCATATACTCCTGGATTTGATTTCTCAACATTTTTGAGTGTCTTTAGGACCATCTTCATGAGAGAGGATGAGCAGCAGTTTTCTTGGTGTGTGTGCAATGCTGGAGCCGAGACATAAGCTGAAACATCAGCTACTGCTTCTTCAGCTTTCTGGAGACACTGTGTAGAATCAGTGTTCATTTTGTTGTTTAATTTTTTTTGAAGCTATTTAGCAGATTTGCTAGTGTGACTGTCCAGGAATAGAAATTTCATTTTTAAAAGTATCTAAACCAGGGGTTCTCAACCTGTGGGTCTTGACCCCTTTGACAAACTATCTCCAGAAATATTTACACTATAGTTTATAACAGTGATAAATTACAGTTAAGAAGTAGCAGCGAAAATAATGTTATGGGTGAGGGTCACCACAACATGAGGAACTGTATTAAAGGGCCGCAACATTAGGAGGGTTGAGAGCCACTGCTCTAGACTAAACTCGATATGAAGCTACTTACAGTTTCTATTACCTCTTACACGATTTGGTAGTCTGAGGACTCAGTCTACGCATTGCTACTAAACTGAACTTTATATGGACGCTTTTTCTCTCCTTCTTTTGTTCTGGAGCTCAGTGCTGGGGTTGACCTCAGAGCCTGACCTGACATGAAAGCCCCTATCATGGGGGCCACCCCCAGGCCTCCACGATCTCCTGTCACCTGTGGTGTCTGCAGAACCATCTCAAGTCTCATTCCTGTTTGCTGGTGTTTTCTTCTCTACCAGTTTAGCTAGGAGACGATTCACTTCTTCAAAACAAACAGAACAGCTTTTAGTTTCACCGTTTCTTTTTCTAATGTCCTTCCATCTCCAATTTCGTTAATCTGATATTATTTCCTTCCTTTTATTTGCTAAAATGGTATTTAAAGTAATTTACAATAGCTAAGTAGCCCCCCCCCCCCCATTTTTCCTAAGGTGCTTTATACTTCAAAGTAATTCTCCTCTAAAGAGACAATGTCAAATATGTGATTAACAGTTTTTCCATTTTTTGTCACTGGACTGGAATCTAGCTCTTCCCCAGGATCTAGTTCTGTACTTCTATTTTACAGTAACAAAAAAGTTAATCTCAGTATTCTTCATAAGGCTATTTCATGTCTGAAACTGTTTTTTAGCTCTGTCCCTTTCTTTCAGCTTGTGTTGCTACTTGTAACCCAGGCTGGTCTCCAACTCAAGATCCTCCTGAGCAGAGTCCACAAGCCTGAGCTACCAGGCCCAGCTAGTGCTGATGTCTTCAATACGGAGACATCTGAACGTTCATAATTCTTTCTGCAGATGGGTTAATTAAGACATTTATTAAGACAATGTGTCACATGGTTTGTTAATTATGTGCACTCTCTATTACAGCGTATAAGGTTCTAAACAATTCTCCGTGAGATTTTTCAGGGGTTGCTACAGTTTTTGAGGGACACGATGATATATTAGGGAAGGAGCCAACAAGTACCATGAGATCCTGTACACCGAGTGGGCAGTATCCTGAGGATACCGGCACTCCTTACTGGAACTAGCCCTAACACGACACCACAAGTGATCGTTTACAACTGAAAAATAAGGATGATGGTGACTGCTGTTAGTGCCCAACTGCAGAGAGGACTCGCTACATACATGTTTAGGGATGGGGGGTGGTAATACTCTCAAGAGAAATGCTGAGTTGAGAAAGGCTGCCAGGAGAGATGGCCACCTAGGCAGAAGAATGAGGAGATATTAAGTATATACAAAACAGAAATCACAAAGGAGAATGATTAACTTTGTCAAAAGTCATTTTGAGCCAGTCCGTTTGTGGGGAAGACAAACATATTTGATAGAGAGACAGACAGACAGAGACAAGACAAACATATTTGATAGAGAGACAGACAGACAGAGACAGTGGGGAGGAAGAGACAGAGAGAGGTAGACAGACAGAGACACACAGGGGGGGGAGAGAGAGAGACAAGGGGCAGAGGCACACACACACACACACACACACACACACTGAGAACACCCACAGAAGCAGAACACACACACACACACTGAGAACACCCACAGAAGCAGAACACACACACACACACAAGCAGAAAACACACACACACACACACACACACACACACACACACACACACACACACACACACACAGAAGCAGAAGAGGGTGCTGGATCCCCAGAGCTGGAGTTCTATAGGTGGCTGTGAGCCACTCCACATGGGTTTTAGGAACTGAACTCTGGTCCTCGGGAAAGCAGCAAGTGCTCTTTCTTACCTGCCGAGCCAGCTCTCCAGCCCCCACACTTGACTTTCTAAAATATCTCCCATTCCTCATATCTCTGTTCATTTTAATCTTCAGAGAAGAGTTCATATATTTTCAATTTATAAATTTAATCCCCCAAATCTGCCTCTTTTTCATACTGATAGCAATATTAAAGGAAGACAATTCAATGTTTTCCTATCTAGTCCTGTAAAATCTTAGTAAGCAATGCTTTCTAACTTTACAGGACCAATTTTCTTCTGTCACACTGCCCATGCCCACCACACTCACCTACAGTCCCAGTTTCCCAACTTTAAAAAGCCTAAGATGCTTTCAATTTCTCATCATCTCCTTCTCCAATCTAAAGTAACTCTCCTTTCTGACTTTTAAGTCACTTTTATTATTCTCTAGTAAATGCTTGTATGCACTCTGATATGCCTGCTTATCCCAAGAAGCTTTTATCAAATGCAAAACATCTCACACAATGAATAAACTTTTTATGCATGAAGTTTGGAATAACATTTATCATTTACAACAAGCACTCATCAATACTACTGAGGATGAAATGTGAATTCTTCCTTTATGTGTCTGGCAGACAGGAGAGCAAATTCACAAAAACAGTTAAGATGAAAAATATACAATTCCTACCACCCACCGCGCGGTACCTTTTCGTTCTTCACAAGCTGCTTCCGGATTGCTGAATCCCGTCTGAAACACAATGCTTTACAACATGGTCCCAGGTCACTAAGAAGACTCGCTCGCTCTTCTTTTCGCAGTAAAGCAGCCATGTTGAGAGCCCCTAGTTCATGCTCGAAAAGGCTCTCTGCATCTTTCAATCAAAAACAAGCATGTGTTAAGTCTCCCTGACAGAGGGAAGTGTCGGCACTGACTTAACAGAATACTCCTAGAAACTCTGACTTACTGAAGTTCACCTTAGTGAACGACTTGTCAAGGCCAGCAGCAATGGTCCCTCGTGAAGGACCTTCAACATGCAGTTACATTGCTAGTCTTACTGAAAACAATAGTGTGATGCTGTTTTAAATTTAAGATGTATCAAAAGCAGACTTCAGAAGGAGAATGAGGCCACTGATTATTGACTTGAAAGAAAGGTCAAGTGAGAACGTTTAAATAAAATTCAGTGTTTGGCCTAGCATTAACTATCATGTACAGTTCTATATTTCAGGACTCTTCTACAGAAGATACAAAAGTAGTCACGGCAGAGAAGGTGACCTCTACAACCTCAGTTAAGAGCATAGTTAGGTGTTAGCCAAACGTCCAAGTCACATAAACACCTGGGACAATGTGTTAAGATACAATAAGTTAGCTTTAAATCATATCATGCAAGAGAAAGAGAAAACACTTGACAAGAAATAATAAAGAAAGGAAG